AGTCTTAACAAAAAAGTATTTTCTTTGATGCCTCACGTTAACGTACGATTATGATAATAGAGGGGTAATCCGGAACCGACATATTTAATTTTTGTGGTATTTGTGATTTGTTATTTTTCGTTTTTGTTCAACTACTAAATGGATATGCGTTAAAATCTGACTATAGATAAAATTTATAACTCATAGAAATAAATTAAACAACATTAAGAACGTTGATGCAAAGTCAATGATTGAAAAATCAATGATTGTTTGGCGATTAACCAGAATTACTACGCAAACACTGCGTGATCCAGAAATAACTGTTGAAGAAAAACTAGGGTACATTTTTGCTATACACAATAACAAAAGCCTACCTTTAGAAAGCAGATAATTACTACCTCCTTGGATCATGTAGAGACTTTGGAAAAGTCAGAATGAAAGTGGTTTTACCGAAGAAGCTACTTACCAAAGAGCATATGAAGATGTCAAGGAATGGATCTCCTCACTCACTGAAGCCAAGGAAAATAGCGAATCGCACGCTTTGCAAACGCTAACAAATGTCCAATGGAAACTACCAGCACGAGATTGGGTCAAATGTACGATTCCAATAAATAGAGGTAAGCATGGAGGGGATATCTTGAATTTTTGTGGTATTTGTATTCTGTTATGTTATGTCCGGCTCGAGATTTTTTTAATCCGATTTTGTTTTGTTACTAAACTAGATATCCGTTCGGTAGAATCTATTTCTTTTAAAACAAAAAAAATGGTAAGTATCAAACGTCAAAAATATGAACCGAGATTGATTTTTAGTAGGTGTTTTTGCCTATATTTCTTTTCTACGGTGGGTATTCTTCTCTATTAGTTAACGTTAAGTTGGCGAAAAGATGGATGATCTAAATCTGGAAAAGTGATGATTCTAGTATTCGTTTTCTCTACTTTGGGAGATTTTTTTGCAGTAGATCTAGTTGTTTTGGAAACTTTAAAAGTATAAAGGAAGACGGAACCCTTGCGGGTGTTGATCGAATAAATGAATTTCTTCACGATGGTTTTATATCTTCAAACGGCTATTCACGCAATGAAGACGACGAGCAATGAAGCAGATTTGATGCTCTATTATCTTCCAAATTCTATTGAATTGTGTTATGTTTTTGATTAAGATTTAGTTGTGTTATTCTATTTTATTTTTACGATCCTTTGGTTGTTGATTCATTACCATAGCTTCTATTGATATGCGTTGAATAGTTTCGTTTCTCTTTATCCGTTAATACCTTTTGGTAAACGGTAGTGTGGATTGATTCTATGAAATAAAGAATTTTTCAGTGTTAAAAAAAAAAAATTGATTTTTAGTATTTGTATTGCTTTCTAAAATTACCAATATCCGGAATTTTTTGGATCTCTTATATGTTCCATTATATGTTCCAACTGCTGCTTCTTAATATCGATTAATGTAGTACTTTGACAAAGTCATACATGTAAGTTAATTATGTCCAGTCCCCAAATAATTCTTCATTAAAAAGATACGGTTCTCCTAATCAGCAACTTTGTTGACTACAAGTCCCTCAAGCTTTGAACTTTGGTGGCTTCCTGATCAATGTGGCTTGTTCGAAGCCATAAGCAATCTCAATGAGCTTTGGCTCTGAGAATCTCAATCCTCCAAAGCTAATCCCAAATGGAACTCCTTCACTACTATATCCTGCAGGGACATTTATTCCTGGATACCCTCCAATGCCGAGGACAGAGCTCAACATCGAACCAAGCGTCACTATTGCATCTAACTTATTTTCCTTCATTAGCTTTTCGATTGCGTTCCTCGAAAGTTCTTCCATTTTCTGCAACGCTGCTTTCTCTTTCTCACCCATTCCATTGGCTGCTTCCGCTGCGAGGAACACCTCTTGTCCCCATTCTTTCACCTGTTCCTGTGAGTTTTGGCAACTCAATGATTCAAATTTCGTTTCAGATACCGAGAAAAATGTGAACTCAATCTTGAAGCTTTCAGTTACCTTTTCAGCAAATTTTTTGTTGTAGGCATTAATAACTTTTGCTAAGGACCGGACTGGTGATTTCGCGAGGTCTTTAAGATATGCATTAAGAGAGATCTTGAACTCAGCCAAAAGTGCCTTCTCTTCACCGCTCTTTGTCCAATCCATAATGACTTCAATGTTTGGTATCTTCAGATTGTCAATGACGATCGCGCTTTCTTGTCTTTATCCAAGAAAAAACAGAGCTACAGTTATGTTGTGTTCTCGAGTTTTGACTTGACTGATCAAATCAACTTAACCTTTACCTTAATGTTTTGCTATGTTGATCAAGATGAGAATGCGGCATCACAATTCCTAATCTCTTACCCTTGAGACCACTAGCTTTCAGAAACTGCTTGTAACCGCCTTTAGGTATGAACTCGGACGCAGTCTTCGTGGCCTCGTCCAACGGATCATAACCCACAATAGCATCAAGAAGATGAACACAATCCGAAACTGTCCTACATATTGGCCTAAAACATTGCAAAACACATAGAAACTTGGCAAAATGGTACAAAAACCAAATAGTTAGTAGTGGTGGGTACACTTAGTCTCACCCAATACTGTCCTGTCTTAAGGAGATAGGAACCACCCCAGCTCGGCTCGTAAGCCCGACACTCGGTTTAATCCCGACCACCGAGTTCCGACTCGCGGGAGAAAGAATGGAACCACCAGTTTCAGTCCCTAATGACAAGGCCACAAGATTTGCTGCTACGGATATAGCTGATCCACTACTTGACCCAGACGGATCTGTTGATAGAACATATGGATTCTGCAGCATTTAATAAAAGATTTGCTGAAATTTTTTGTAAAGATTGCAACTTTATTTAAGGATTTTTGGTTTTTGGTTACAAAGTAATGAAAAAAATTTGACCTTTCCTTGGAGGCCACGTGCGCTCCAACCATTTGGGATGAAATTAGAACGGAAACTAGCCCATTCGCTTAAACTGGCTTTGCCCAAGATCACAGCACCAGATTCTCTCAGATTCTTGACAACACTCGCGTCTCGAGCCACGACTGAACCAAGCAAAGCGAACGAACCAGCGGTTGTGTTAAGCTTGTCTTTGGTGGAGATAGAGTCTTTGAGCAGAACCGGAACACCGTGCAAGAAAGGAAGTTCAGTGATGTCTTTAAGGTTGCGTTCTCTGTCTGCGATCTCTGCTTGGATCAATGCATCTGGATTCGTCTCGATGACTACGTGAAGCATTGGATTGAGTTTTGAGATTGATTTGAGATAGAACTCAACGAGCTGCTTTGATGTTAGTTTATTTTCCTTGAAAGCAAGTCTAATGTCTTTAATGGTGGCTTCTTGGAAAGAGAATGTTGAAGTGAGTTTGATCTG